GGCCCGGCCCGGCCCGGCGGGCCCCCGCGATAGCCTTTCTCTCTGCCTCAGGAACTCCAACAGCAAAAACGACCGGAGGAACCGCAAGTTCAAGGAGGCCGAGCGGCTCTTCAGCAAGTCCTCGGTCACCTCGGCAGCGGTGAGTGCCGAGCCTTGGCGGGGCTGAGCCAGACGCCCCTGCTGCCGTCCCCATCCCCGTCCCTCTGCCCGTCCCTTGGTGCCTCTCGGTGCAGGAAGTCCTGCTGCTGCTGCAGGGCCAGTTCTCCACTTCAGCTCCTGTACCTGCCCCGTCTTCCTAGTCCTGAGCATCCTCGTCCCCTGTCGCAGCCTCTTGAAACCCTTTTCCTCATGGCTAGTGGTGAAATGGAACCACAGTCAGGAGCTACCCGTGCCACACGTTTGTTACTGCCATCCATGCCTTGTCCTTTTTGCTCCTCCCTCCTCCTGCTGTGCCGTGCCAGTGTGGGGTCGTCGGCTCTTCCAAGCTGATGTGTCGCTCTCCGAGTGGTCTCTGGTCCTGTGCTTTTGGAAAGGGGTCAGTGAATCACTGCTTAGCTTAACATCCCTTTTGGTTTCCTAGGCGGTCAGTGCATTAGCTGGAGTTCAGGACCAGCTCATTGAGAAGCGTAAGTCACTTCTTTGTTTCACTTAGAATTTGGAAAGAATTCCCCATCTCCCCCTCTTCAGCTCCACCTCTTGTCTGGATCCGTGCTGTGCTCGCTGCTGCCTGCCCCGGGGCTGCTCCTCTCTGGCTGCTGGCCACACGAGGAGCAAAGTGTCACTGGGAGAGACAGAACGGGAGTTGAGCTTCCTTTGATCCAGTAAACTTTCATGCTCAGCAAGGGTTTATTGTGCATAGACCTTCCTTAAGCAGACTTGTTGCCCTTTGGAGGAAGGGGTGAGAAGAGCTGAAGAGCATCTGTCTGTGTGTCAGTCAGGTGCGAGTGACGTGGGGAGGAGCTGCTTACCTGAGGGTTTTTAAAAGTGCTTTTGTAATCAGTACCGAGTGGGATGCAGTTCTCGTGTGCTTCAGTTGCTGAGGAGGCAGCTTGCTGTCCTTCAGACGTATTTTTCAGGTTTTTAGTTATCCCCTGGTGCCCTCCAGCCTGGTGTGACTGCAGGCAGGGCTTTGCCAGGGCGTGAGCTGCGGGCAGTAGCCCACTGCCCTGCCCCCTGTGTGTGTCCTGCTCTAGGGGAGCCAGGCAGTGGCACGGAAAGTGACACTTCTCCAGACTTCCACAATCAGGAGAACGAGCCTAGCCAGGAAGATGCTGAAGAGCTGGATGGGTCAGTGCAGGGGGTAAAACCCCAGAAAGCTGCTTCCTCTACTTCTTCTGGGAGCCACCACAGCAGCCACAAAAAACGGAAGAACAAAAACCGACACAGGTTAGTGGTACCAGCAGCCTTGTCCTGGCGTCTGAGTGGTTCAGCTGCTGCTGAGTTTGCCTCTTTATGTGAAAGGAGCTTGTGAGTTGTTACAATAACGAGCAGCTCGGGTGATTTGTTTTGGTGATTTTTCTGGTTTTCAGCGTATGTGTCCTGTAGCGGTCACCAGGACCCCATTGCCCCTGTTGTGTCGAGGGGCTGGAGAAGTTACACAAGCAGGACAGGGAACTAACCCAGCTCTGGGACTGAGCTTTTCACCTGGCTGTTCCAATTCTGCCTGTCTGGGGGAATAAAGCTGCATTCCTTCCACTGGCAGGAGGTTGCAGTCCTGGCCTCCTGTGCTGACTCCTTGGTTTCTTCAGAACCAAGTAAGATAGGCATTGGTACTTTCTCTGGAGAAAAAGGTGAAAAACCAGATTGGAATGTTTTGGGGGTCACGGACACTCCCAGTATCTTCACTAAGCCCTTTCAGCTGCCCTGTCCCAGACTGAGCCTCTTTTGATGATGGTGTAGGAGCATTGCTTTGTCACCTTAACCCCAAACTGTTTGTTGTTAAACTGAACTGAATTTCACATGAAACCAAGAGTGGCCGAGCTCTTTGTGGCTGAGTTCAGGTGGCCAGTTCTCCCCTTTCTGTGCACCCCTGAGGTGTGGCACAGCACAGCGGGCCAGTGGCTCAGGAGCTGCAGCAGCCCCCCTGCTGTACAGCTGCTCGCCATGGGCCAGCACAGCCTGCTGTGCAGCAGGACCTCAGTGCCCCCTGGCAGTGCCCCCCGGGGACAACTGTGGAGAACCATGCTCCTGGAAAGAGACCTTCACTGCAGAACCACACCCCTGCAATGATTGCTGAACCGAAGAGTATGAGCAGTAAAGGAGCTTTTAAAACTCCAAGTGTTTGTGCTAACTTTGCACTGGCTGTGTGTGGGACTGGGCTTTCCTCTTCGAGGGACCTTCCCATACAGTTAGAGAGGGAAGCGTTTGGAATGAAAGTGGTACAAATTTACAGAGATTGCTGGGGGAAGGTTGGTTTGGGAGAGACTGAGGTATGTGTAGTACTTGGAAAATGTTTAACTACTTTTTGTCCTTCATAAGGTTTTGTGTCATTAGTGTGTCTTTGATTCTTAGATCAGAATTTTCTTCCTAGAGTCTTAATTGGGTGGACATCCTAAGATACTGGATGTTGCTTTGGTTCCTCATTGGGTGGGAATCCAAAGCAGTTCAAAACTTTTTTTTTTTGCCTGTAGGCAATTGGAAAGAAGTTCAGGAGTAACACAAGAAACTGCACCTGTAAACAAGTTCAGAGAAACAACCTGTAAAACTGAAGTACAGCTTCAGAAAACTGGTGTTTCAAACAAATTACAAAATATTCTGCAAAACACCTCCATGGACACCAAACCAGTCCCTCTGCAGACACAGTGGGGTGCAGAACAAATGCTGTAAATAACATAAATTCTTTTGCTCCGTTACATAACCTGAACTTCAGCAACAGGGGTTAGGGAGAACCTGCCCCACCAGCAAGTTGT